TAAGTGGCACCCATATATTTTATGAATACATGTTTAAATTCAAACACTATTGAATGATTAGCTGTATCAGTTAATCAATATCTCCTATACCTCCTATATCTCCTATACCTATCTATCTATCTACCTCTTACCGTAGGACATAATGGAGTTTCCGGGGATACTCTCCGAAGACATCATATAAATTAAAAGGGATTGTTGCCAACTTTTCGGCTTGTTTGAAGAACTCGATAAAGCCGATCATTTGACAAACGCATATTTTTATTGATAACACCTAACAAGCCGATTGTTTACGGATATATTTTTGATTATTATTAATTTTCACTTTAAAATAAGAGTCTTGTCGACAGGATTCAATTTTTTCTCGATAGGGGCATGCCAAGGACAGCTCACATTTTAAACTTGGCAGTTTCAGTATGAGAGTGTTCCTTTGATCCGAATATGGCCAATCTTATTAACTTACAATACCAACATCTCTGTGATAATGAAACTCTACTGAGAAACATTCTTATGAAGTCTTTATGAATGAATACCCAGAGATGGATGGATAATAGCGACCATTGCAAAACAATTTCTAGCATTTTCTGATAGCGTTTCTACAACAAGATATATTCAAATTAACAAATTACGTTTGGTATCAAAAAAATTCCGAGTGTCAACTTCATTCAATTGTATAGCATGTGATCCGATCATATTAAGCATAACGAGAAATGCGAATTAATGTCAAATGCACTATGAGTGGTGGCATTTGGTTTAACTGGAAGGATCAAAAGAAAAAACTATAAAACTATGATAGAAATAATTTAAAACAGATGTTTCCTGAAACTGAGTTTTTGTCTGTTGCATGAGTCCAGTTTCATGCAAGTGATGACACTACACTACAACCACAGCGTGACAAAAGTACAATCAGTTTTATGCCTTAAACAGACTAGACGAATTAAAAGTGAATTAAGAAAATGTGATTGATTGGTGTTTCCAAGTGACAACACCAATCACATTTCTTAATTCAGCCTTAATTTTTTTCATTCTGTTTGATCCCCTTAAATGTGAACGGACGAATCACACGTTGGTTAATTCAATTTTATTTCGTCTAGTCTGTTTAAGGCGTAACACATCCATTGTTTGAACGCTCTTTAATGATTGGCTCTAATTTAAACGATGTTCGTCAAACAAGAATGTTCATATAAATACACTGAACACAGTTATTCACAACCCAAACTAAAGCGTGAAATAAATAATGAACTGTGTATCAAACGCAAGTGTGTATTTCTTCAATGAAATAACGTATTTTTTATAATTTTTTTTCCACAGAAAATATGATCGAACTAGCTGATTTGCCTGATGAAGTGATCTTAGCCATTATGAATAAAGTAGAATATCGAGCCGAACTACTTTGTTCTATTATTGGTATTGGAAATAATCGTTTGGAACAACTTGCACTTGATAAATGTCATTCAATTGATTTAACCTTCGACTATTTTGATTCTCCATATGAATTACTTATGCAACGATTTTATTCACATGTTATGCCTCGTATTTACTATAATATTCAATCACTAACACTTAATGTTCACCATATACGACATTTTGTCACTTATGTTAACGAAAACTATAATGGAACTCTTCTCAACTTGACACATTTGAAATTAGTGTTTGGTAAACGATGCTTCAAAACAGGCACACCTTATACAATAGGTAATTTACTACTAGCTATAGTTTTTGTCGTCATTCTTTCCAAGAACTCTAAAAGACGTAAAAGTGATATTTTGAGGAACGAAACGAACATTAAAATTAATGTATTTTAATTTCATTGTTTTAAACTGACCTTTTCGTTAGAGTAATCTCATGGCTTGATTAAAAATCAAATTCATTGCATTTGTTTGGTTAAAATGTTGGTTTTAATCAATGAAATTGGAATACATTAGTTTTAATGTTTGTTTCATCAGTCAAAATATCATTTTTTTCCGGATGTTTTCACGTAAAAGTCATAAAGTGTTTTTTGTGTTAAGTTCTTGAATCATACGGCTTCTGTTCGATTTTCTATGAAAATAATCAAAGAATTATGATTTGAAGATTTTCAAAATGTGATTTTGCTTAACGTACATCGAAAGAAAATCCGTGTACTGCTTTTGTCTGAAGAGCATTGCAGTCTGAACTAACGAATGAAAAACTTATAATTTTTTCTCTGGTTTTTGTAGTGGCACTTTTTTCGCAAATCTGATACTTCCAAAAAACATGAGAAATCCTTCTTGCTACATCAGTCTTATAAGTTGCCAGAAAACTAGGTCGATGCTCTTTTTTTGTTAACACTAATAGTCATATTTTTATATTTTAGGTAATGACATCAATAGTGTGTTACACGGTGAACCGCTATTCTCAATTATTCCGGAATTTCTTCATTTTGATGGGACTATCGGTGGCCGAATCTTATCTGTTTTGCGTTGTTCACCACTTATACATTCTATTATCTCGTTTGAACTTGATGATGACTGTATTTTTCCAGATGCTCCTAATGATGATGGATTGTTCTTCGTTCATTCATCTCAGCTGACTCATATCCGCGTTACATTATGTCGATTTGACCATTGTGTCCGTTTACTGAATCAATTAGGACCACAAATTCACTCATTCTCTGTAAGCCTTGTACATGTTCGTATAGGCGATGTTGATATTATATCTAAAATGACATCAGTATGCACTGTTCTCAATTTGAAATTGCATTTAATTTTATTCATTTAGATATCGTGTCCCAATTTAAAAATATTGACAATGACAATTTATCGCAATATTCTTTGCTACGAAGAATGTATTCCTCCTCTTTTACAACGTTTATCGAATGTTGAACATTTAACATTATTACTAGCTGTTGGTGTAATAGGAAATAGACCGGATCATTTTATTGATGGATTTGATTTAGAGAAAGACATTGTTTCATATATGCCTCATTTACGTCAATTTAAGTTTCACATTCGTTCAATATTAATAGACGCTTCTCATACAGAAGTTGACGCAATTCGTCGAACCTGTGTCAAACATCAATCTGTGGGTTGTGCACTCGATTATTTCAATAATCATTATGGTCAATGTCAAATCTACTCACTTCCATTTATCGGCACTCGCCTTGACTTCATCTCAAATCGATTTCCACTCTTCGATATTAATAACACATTCTCAAATGTTACTGTGCTGTTACTTTTCGATGATGTGAAACCTTTTGAAAGTGTTTTCTTTGAACGTGTTACTCAAGCTTTACCTAGTCTTAGAACACTCGAAGTATCTAATGAACTTAAGCAACAAGAGAAATCAGCAAATAGTCTTGTGTTTGCTCGTTTAGCTACACTTATTTTATATAACGTTCACATGAATTATGCTGAACAACTTCTTTGTCGTGCTCGTCTTCCATGTCTAATCGAACTCGCTATTCGCAATGATCTATTACTGGCAATGGTTGCTGGAGACAATCAGCAAGCAAGATATAATTGTTCAAAAGTTGAAACACTAAGAACATCCGAGCTACCTTCTGATCCAACGGATTCTATTCAAAACTTTTTCCCGTTAGATTCATGTTTTAAGTATTCAAAGAAAGAACAAAAATAAAATGTATGATTTGTGTTAATGAATAAATTCATTGTTGTAATAAAACTTTGTTGCTCAAAAACTAATGCAAAATAATCATCGTAAGGGCATATATTGGAAAACCACTTTTTTTCTTTATGAAATAATTCACCAAAATTCACTCGATATCAATGCCGCAATTTTTCGATGATATTTTAAAGAAGAAAATTAATGGTAAATTTGTTCTTCTCGTTCATCGATAAATTGAATATATTATGCACGACTACTGTTGACAATTATTCAGTGATCAGCGATAGCAACAAACAATATTGAGTTCTCGAAAAATTGAAGTAGTTTAGACTACTAGAAAAGTTCAAAATACCAGCGATTTAATCGTCAATATAAGGCGAATTGACTAGGTATTAATTGACGTCTAATATACGAAGAAAACAATAGGTCAATGCATGTAGCATATTATACTTATTCTATCATGGGATTCTTTTGACAAGGCAGTTTCAACTTGATGATTTTTCTTCAGGTTAATGGAATCATCATGACTAGTGGCGCAACAAGGGTAAGACTAGAGGAATCAGCCCCAGAGTCGGAACCAGTCAGACAATCCGGCTCCGATTTGATCAGATTGGACGGGACGTAAAGTCAAACTGGCCCGGACGAGACTGGATCTTTGCTATTTCATAATAGTTACATTGACACTTGTATTCAAAAATTTCTCTAGCGGAAACAGGTTCTATTCGCTCCTTTCGAATTGAAACAATATCTTTAATATTACCGGAATTTCAAAATAAAAGACAGAAGACATAACGAGAATATTCGAGCAAATTGGTGTACACACAGAGCTTTGATCATACTCTAATAGCACCAGCTTTTGATCGTTATTAAACGATAATATTAATTAGACAAAGACAAACAAAATGAAAAGAGAATGCGAGAAAAATTCAGACTTGCTTCTCCTCTTTACAAATTCGAATCAAATTTTGTCGGATATTTTACACATGTTTAACCTTGATGGTTCGCTTCCATCTAAACAAATGTTCATGATCAACGGATTTAGTCGCAACGAAATATGAACATGCAAAAGTTTCATTACATTGAGTCCTAAAGTTTAGGGAATTTTTCATGAAGATCCTAAATAAACAAAATGGAAACTATATGATTCAATAGAGTAGTCATGGTTCATCTGACCATATCGAAATAACATATCTCCGAATTTTTACACAAAACTAGGGGTGTGAATTTATTGTTATTGTTATTTATAACAATAACAAAAAAAGTTATTGTTATTAATAGCAATAACTTTTTTTGTTATTTGTTATTAAAAACAAATAACTTTTTTTTGACGATCATTCTCAACTCGAATCGCAATACCCTTAGGTTCTTATCTCCTATTATATGAACATATCCTTGGAACCTTATCTCCTATTATTTGAAGATACTCTTGGGTCCTCATCTCCTATTATATGGAGATACCCTCAGGTCCTAATGTGATATTATTTGGAGATATCCTTGGGTCCTCATTTGCTATTATATGAAGGTATCCTTGGATCCTCAAGTCCTATTATATCGAGGTACCCATAGGCCCTCATCTCCTACTATATAAAGGTACCATTCGGTCCTCAAGTCCTCTTATATTGAGGTACCTTCAGGTCCTCATCTTCTATTATATACAGGTACCCTTGATCCTCCACAGCTATTACACGGAGGAACCTTTGTATTCTCATATTCTATTATATGGAGAGATTCTTAGATTCTCAAGTACTATTGTATAAGACTATCCATAGGTCAGCACAGGGATGCAACAATGCTAATACTTCCAATGGTATTGGTGGCATTGGTAGTGTGCAAAGAAAAGATAAACCTGAGTATTTTGAAAAACTCATCATAGATTCGAATTCAGCGACGCCGCAAACTTTGATCAAACTTTGTAAAAAAACCCTTATTATCGAAAAAACAAGCCTTTCCTTGACGAAAATCAAGAACATAAAACTAATCTTTCCAAACTTTATGTTCTTGATCTTTTCGTCAAGTGAAAGCTTCTTTTTTCAAAAATAGTGGTGCTATATAATGTTTTAACAGCAGCTTTCGGGATCGAGAAATTCGAATCTCCCATTAGTTTTTCGAAATTTTCAAATTTGATGTTCCTTTGCAAACTATCAATACTAGAGTAAATCCATCTGAAACATGCCACTTTATACAAAAGTATTTGCACCAGCGACGGGACCCACTGCATCTTGAAGAGAATTTTTTTCTGGTACTAACTTATACCTTCAAATCTCCCAAAAGGATGCACAACTTGAGATAAAATTAAAATATTTTTACGTTGATAAGTGGCGTCCTCAGCATAATTTCTCAGTCAAAAAGCGTTTTTTGATGTTATCCTTAAATCAGCTATCCTTGCCTAGAACCTATTTACATTGATATCAATCTGAAGCTCATAACTGAAGGCTTCATACATGATAAGATCAGCTTTGCTACTCACGCCTGCGTCGAGAAAATCATTTTC